ATAAAGCTTTTAGAACTTTGAAGTGACTTATGTTCTGGTGTGTCTGTCTCCCGTGTTTAATGAGGTTTTTTCCCTGACACATTCTATAGATAGGATAAATAAAATAAATTGATTTTGATGCCAGATCCTTCCGGAATAAGGGCACGAAAAGCAGTGGATGGACAAGTGGAATCACTGAAACCTGGTGGGCAGTCAAGAGGATGTTGCCTTGTTGGAGAAACGTCCCTCCTGCACAGCAGCCTCAGAACGAGGACCCAAGGAAGGAAGGGGGTGTTGCTGTTTGTTTGGGCACCATGGTAGCCACTGGATGTGCTGCTCTGATGGAACCTGGGTGTGAGTGTCTGTAGGGTACAAGTTGGGCTGCTGTGGGTGAACTGCCGCCTCCCTGCCCTGCCTGAGTGCTTAGATGTCACTGGGGGCTGGGAGTGGGGAGCCCCAGGCTTCTTATGCTGGGGGACTTTAATTTCCATGCTCTCTGAGAGCACGGTCCATGAGGGATCAGGGGTTTATGGCCCCCAGGACAACCACTGATTTCTTCTGGCTCATCTTGGTGGTCAAATGTTTGCCTTGGAGCAAATGGCACGTGATTGGAAAATCACCCTGGAGATCCAGATGGCCCCCACCCTGCTGTTATTTAGGAGAGCCAGAAAGACCTGCTCTTCACTCAAGCCTCTGGCGAGAAAGACTGAGATCTCTCGCTTGGTTGTGCCTGTCATCTTTTATCTTAATCTTTTATGTTTTGTTGATTTTATTGTAATTTCTTTGTTGTGAGCCACCCAGAGTCATTGAGAGTTGAACAGCACACAGGTTTAATAAATTATATTATTATGGTTGGTCGCACGGTCAGCCAGATGTTTAGACTGGATTTGGCATTTTTATCAATCTATTGAGTCCTTCCCAAGGATGGTGGTGGTGATGATGATGGTGATGATGATGATGATGATTGGAAAGTGGAGGCCGCGGTCATCTGTCCTTTGCCATAGACAGAACACTTCCTGAAAAAGCTTTATGGGGCCACCATTCTTGATCTCCCCAGGATGGAGGACATAGTAGAATGGCCTGCCTCAGGGGACAATGAATCTGGATAATTTGTTGATGGCCTCCATGGTTGACCAGTTCCGCCACACATCTGGTCCCTTCTGGAATCTGGAGATGGTCAAGGCGTTGGGTGAAATTTCTCCCAAGTAGGCTCATCTCAGTTGTGGAGGAATTCGGTGTCAGGTTCGGCCAGCACGAGGCTTCAGGGAAGCACGGGGTTGCAGGGAAGCTCGCAACCAGACCACGCGGAATCCACCGGCGGTAGCTAG